GACTGCTCCTTGACATAAATAATGAAGCTTATTAGGTAATGGTAAGTATTTTGAAAAGACATAGAATTTAAGATGGCTCCTCTCCGTTTATTTCCTGATTCTTTGTGGTCCTTAATTGATCTCTTGAGTAACAACCGAATACAGGAAAAACTCTTGATTAGCACAGGGACTTGAATGCATCGTTGAATGAATCCTGCAAGAAAGCTCAATTTACCATGCTGAGAAAAACTTTCCCTGGTTATGAGACTTTTTTTTCTGCCCTCCAAAATTTCCTTTAGAAGCATGTATGTTTGTATGTGTGTAAATATCTCTGTGTGTGTATATATGTGCTCTTCTGTTTTGTCTGAAAAGTAACAAAAACATTAAAGAACTCAAATTAACTATACCAGCTTAGAGCACTAAAATGGGAAACCCATTTAAAGATATTGACCCTAAAATGATATACTTTAAAATAGTTCCGTTGATTTCAGTAGGATAGCACTAAAATTATTTGAGAAAATATATCAATTGAGAAGATCAGTTTGGTGTCATGGTAAAGCACCAGGCTCAAAAATGGGAGACAACTAGTTCTAGCTTTTTACTTTTTCTTATCCTATGCCCTTAATTTATTTGGCATATCATTTTTAAACAAATTTTCTGTCTTGGATAACATTACTGCTGCCAAAGAGAATGGTGTGATGAATTACCAACATATATAGTCTTCTTTCCCATGTTAAGATGAAACTGATGGGTAACATCAGCAGACTTTTCAAGGGAAGCTGCTGAAATTATGAATCATTTTCTGGCAGCAATCATAGACTAGATAAGGGTTAATAAACTGACACTTAAAGTAAGCAAACAGAGATGTTCCTAGTCAGAAAACATATGGAATCTGGAATAGGATTTTGCTCTGCTTTGAATGGGATAATGGTCACCTTGAAGAACCAGATTCAAAATTTCAGAGTTCTTATAGATTCAACTATATATCTAGAAGCCCAAGTGGTGTCTATAACCAGCAGTGGTCGGCTGCATGTAAGCTAGTGTTGCACCAACTTCTGATTCCAACGGGATCAAAACGGGCCACAGTGACACATACATGTTGTTTTTCTTTGGGATACATTAACAAGACTTCATTTAAGTATTGGTCTTCATCAACAGTTGAAGTCGCTCAAGGTCAATTGCACAGTTGGACAACCAACTCTGAGCTCCCCAGCACTCATTCCTCACAAGCCTTTTCTTAGCCCTTAGTTTGTGACTCTGAGGCAAAATCACCTTCATAGACTGAAGATAAACTCAGCCAATGGGCAAAGTCCTGTTATTCTGACCAGAAAAGTAATTTGGCTCAATTAAGAAAGAGTGCCAAAAAGCAATCTCATCTATCTGTGCTAGATGATAACCAAAATAGATTTCAAGAGCTTTCAAATCTTCCTGCTCCTGTGATAGAGAATCTTCAAAATTAGTCCCAGAGCTGGCCTAAAGTGAACTTTTAGCATATCCCTCTGAATTTTTTTTTTTTAATTTGATTTATATGCCGCCCTTCTCCGGAGACTCAGGGCGGCTTACAATGTGTTAAGCAATAGCCTTCATACTTTTGTATATTTATACAAAGTCAGCTTATTGCCCCCACAAACTGGGTCCTCAATTTACCCACCTTAGAAAGGATGGAAGGCCGAGTCAACCTTGAGCCTGGTGAGGTTCGAACTTACAGTAATTGCAGACAGCTGGTGTTAATCACAATGCTATTAGTCTGCTGAGCCACCAGACATTGGTCAGTTAATTCCTGGTCTTAACAAGCTTTGCTCAAGTCTATCTTGAAGCAGAACAAAATCCTGCCTGCACTCAGACAGATCGGAACACTTTCCAGTATATTATTATCATCCTTTGTCACAAAATCTTAATTTAGTAAACACCTAACCTTGCTTCTTTCTGCAAGAACATTTTGAACTTGCACATTTGTCACTGGGTGAAAATGTGTTGCTGAGCAGATTCTACCTGTCCCACTTTGTAAGCAATTGTAAGTGGTGAGTCGTGTTCAATGACCAATTTCGGACTTCCTTTCTTTCCAGAAAATAAACAGAACACCACCTCAGAAGCACCTTCCAGTTCTGTCACATAATGGAGTGAGCTCTCGTTACTTGTCCCAGCTTCTGCCAACTTAGTAGTTTGAAAGCATGTAAAAAAATGCAAGTAGAAAAATAGGGACAACTTTGGTAGGAAGGTAACAGCACTCCGTGCGCCTTCGGCATGCCGGCCACATGACCATGGAGACGTCTTCAGACAGCACTGGCTCTTCAGCTTAGAAACGGAGATGAGCACTGCCCCTAGAGCCAGAAACAACTAGTACACATATTCAGGGGAACCTTTACCTTTAAAGCAAAGGAAAGGTGAAGTAAGATCGGAAGCACAGTCACAGTTTCACTTAGTGATCGTTTTGCTTAAAGAACAAGTTAGTGCCCTGCTAAACAAGAACTACTTGTATAACTTAACGCAGGTATCATGCAGCTTGAAAGATTGGACACCACTATTTTGGTAGGTTCAGCAATGCATCTTCTGTGAAAGTGAGCATAGGAGGGAGTCTTGCTCATTAAAATCACCTTTGATTCCATATTTTGTAGATTCATGTGACATGCCTAGAATCTATAGCTCCTGGCCATACAAACTTCAGGAGGCTTCAAGAAGAAATTTATCCTAGAATGCATCCTTCTGAAATCGGTAATGTGCCAAAGTGAGTTAAACTGTGACAGCTGTCTGAAGAACTAAATATATTATCATGCAGTGATCTGATTCATTGACTGTGATCCATGGACATTTAACACAATAATAAGTGCCACAAAATTGTTGTTTTTAAATAAATCTACCAGCGTGATGGGTTTTTCTTCTTTCAAAGGCAAAAACCCCACTCATCTCCTGGGCCTAATAATACATAATGCAATTCTACATTTGCCTGCGTAGAAGCAAATCCCACTGAGTTCAATGAGATTTATTCCCAGGAATGTGAGTTTAAAACTGCTGTCATTTCTGATAAAGGTCATTTTTAACAGATTAATCAGTTACAAATAATGAACTATATACCAAGCAAACATTGGAATGGATATGTTGAAGGATGCAAAGAATTATCAATTTATTAAACAAAACAACTGAGGAATAACCATCCCACTTCATGATATGCAACCTTCCTGCAATTCCAGCTATCTGCTTATAGGAAAGATGCTGGGACAGAAAAGGTTAAAGTAGCAAAGAGCTGCTTTATAGAGAACCCAAGAAAAATTAGGTTGAGGGAACAGAATTATAGCAACAGGCCCCTAACAATCCCTTAGAATTTCAAGAAAAATAGTCTTTTCACTGCAACAAATAAGCTTTACAACATATATTCTAACAAAAGCAGTTAAAGTAATGTGAAAATGTGCACCAATCCAGTATTCAAATAAGTATGCTTTAGTCTGCCTAAATCAACAATACTAACCTACCCTAGCTTTTTTCTAGTTTTAGTCTGTTACTTTAATGGTTATCTCATTTTTAAGAATGCGTTGGTGATGAGATTCTCTCGCCACCAAAGAAGCTGTCTCATGAAAATTTATCCAGTTATAATAAATGTAACAATAATCTCCCCCTCTAAAGTTGGAAGTTAGATAAGCAGTGTAATCTAAACGCTATTTTGTGCCATAAAGAGAAGCATGAAGGGTGTTTTAATTGTGACTGTAATCAAAGGTACTAGCTGGCACAGGCAATGTTATTGATGTCCTTAAGTGTAAGTTTCAGCACAGCAGGAAATGCTGACTTTTACAAAATAATATCCACTAGGGATATCTGTTATCATATTGCAAAGCAAAGGTCTGTAGTACTACCTGTAGTACTAGTTAGAAAAGTAACTAGGAAAAAGGAAGAAAGAACAGATGACTTTTAAAGCTTTACTCATCTATTTAAGATGAGTAAAGCTTTAAGATATTTCTTTGCTGAAATATGAGCCAGCAGTGTTCTGCAGCCACCAAAAAAGCCACCAAAAAAGCCAATAGGCTGCATTAACAGAGGGATAGAATCAAGATCATGTGAAGTGTTAATATCACTGTATAATGCCTTGCCAAGACCACATTTGGAATACAGCATCCAGTTTTAGTTGCACCGATGTAAAAAAGATGTTGAGACTCTAATAAGAGTGCAGGGAAGAGCAACAAAGATGATTAAGGGATTGGAAGCTAAAACATATACAGAATGGTTGCTGGAATTGGGTATGTCTATTTTAATGAAAAGAAAAGCTAGAGGTGACATGATAGCAGTGTTCCAAAATATCAGAAGTTGCCACAAAGAAGAGGGAGTCAGCTATTCTCCAAAGCACCTTAAGGCAGGACAAGAAGCAACGGATGGAAAGTAATCAAGGAGAGAAGCAACCTAGAACTAAGGAGAAATTTCCTGACAATTAGAACAATTAATCAATGGGACAAGTTGTAAATGCTCCAACCCTGGAAGTTTTTAAGAAGAGATTGGACAACCATTTGTCTGAAATGGTATAAGGTTTCCTGGGCTAGAAGACATCTAAGGTTCTTTCCAACTCTATTATTCTGTCCTGTTCTGCTTTGTAGTATGATGTCCCAGCTATTATCTTTGATCACGGTCACACTCAGGACTGCAATTTCCATCACTAAGCAATGCAATCATAAAGCATGATGTCACATGACTGCATCACTTAGCAATGGTAGTCCCAGCAATTCCAGTTGCCATCATAACCCCAGGACTTTGCAGATTGTTAAATGGGAAGAGGCAGGAGTCCCAGGCAACATATGTGACATTCAGGCAGGCACTACCAAGTGCAAGCTGGCAGAGGCCATGAGCTGGTCAGCAGGACACATAGGTGAACCACCAAGGGCCATGGGTGTGTACTACAAGGCACAGGCAGATTGACAAGGGCTGTGGGTGGGTTGGCAGGGGAACCATGGGTGGGCACTAAAGAGCATGGGCTGGCTTGTAGGTGTCACAGCCAAGTGGGACATGCTGTGAGTGATGCCTGCTAAGGGAAGGAGTGCGATATGGAGTACAGGCAGACAAGGAGGTACAATGGGGTACAGTGTCTCTGGGATCTCATTCTCTACATCAGGGATCTTCCAGAGAAAAAGCAGCAGGAGAATCTATGGGAGCGACCTGCAACTTTCTTGCTGGCTTCCCCATTGATTTTGCTTGTGTGAAACCGACAAGGGGGACTGCAAATGGTGATCCTTAACCACAGGATGCTGCAACCTTCACAAGTGCCCAAATCACAATGATGTGACGGTGGAAGTGGAGCAACTGCTGGAACTTCAAGGAGTGGTCGTAAGTATGTTTGTCCAACATTCATTAACTTTGAATGATTGCTGAATGGTAGTAATGGCAGAGGACTACCTGTAAGAGCTTTATTAAAAGCCAAGCACAGGAGCCTGTCCAATATATTTATAATAATTTCTACTACATTAGTAGATATTGTGCTTCCTGGGGACATGGGCCTTAAGGGCAGAATGGGTTACCTAATAAGGAACACTCTTGAACCCCAGAAGAGGTCATCTGAAGTTGTACACCATGGTCAGGCATCTTCTGCACAGGGAAGCAATGGTAGAACATCCCCTTGACATTAACAATAAAGCTGTGACCAAGTTGTAAATCCACTTGCATTTTGTGTGTCTACCTCTTGAATCCCCTCCTGGTTGTAATAACCTAATACACCACCGCAGTTCTGAAAATCAGGGAGAAGGCACACAAAGCGACAAGGCCTTCCCCAAAACAAAATGTCTGCAGAAAGCATCCCAGGGCTCATCGACAGACTCCTCCATTTTCCACCTATCCACAAGGCTACAAACTTGACTTTCCTGCCAACATCTACAGCAAGCACCCTTTTCTCTTTTAAAGTCTCGCAATTCCTCTACCAGGCAACCGGCTGCAAAACCCGCCGATTCCTATCCGAGTGCCGAGACAGGCAGGCAGAAAGAAAGGGGTTTACGGAACACTTGCACGACAGCCAACGCAAATGCCTGCCCTTAAGGCAGATTCATCGGGGACAAAAGCAGGAGCCAAGCGTCAGGTGCACGCAATTACTCATGAATTAACGTGCATCCTCCCTCATTATTGGTTAGCTGATGGGAGGGCGTGCCGGCAAGATCTCCGGTCTGCCTTCGCTTTGAAGGGGCGGTTTTTTCCCCACCCCCACCCCCACCCCCACCCCGCACAAAAAAGCGACAAACCGAGCAATGTTCGCCTACGCCGCTAGGGGGTGCGGTGCCCCAATTTTGTTGTCCTTTCCCCGCCTTTCCCTCTCCGAATTTCCCTTCCTACAGAAAATGTTAATTAAAAGGGGGGGGGGGGAAGCGAGCTGGCGGACCACCTCCACCTTGTTCGAAAGCGTGTGCGTGTGTGAGCACGCGCAGGGGAAGGGTGTGGATCACAAACTAGCGCGGATCGTTTTCCATCGACTGAACCAGCAAATCAGGCGCGCGGCTGGTGGCGAGGGGAAGGCGAATCTGCAGCTACACTCGCAAAACAGCTACTGCTGGCGGCGCAACGGGCATGCGCAGAGTCCCAGCGGCAGGCATGACATGCAGAGAGAGGAGGCGGCTGTAGCTGCCTCTCCGTTTGAGATGCGGCGTTAAGACCTACCTCACGGGTTATTAAAAGTCAAAATACTCCCCAGACCTGCATCAATTTTGGTTCAATGTGCGGTCGGCCATTGCGGTCTTTTTACGCTCACGTTAGCACACCCATAGATCCCAGGCAGACAAGACATCCAAGCTTTTTGGTTAAGGATGGAGAAGGGTCCATATCAATTAACGCGGGGGGGGGGAACACCTTGAAATAACTGTATCCCCCAAAAAAGAATGAGCGGTCGCCTCAAGTATCTTATTTTCCAGGAAATTACATTAGGGGGCATCCTAAAGCTAGGTCTTGTCATGTGTCTTCATTGGGTACAGCCAGTTACTTGCTTGGAAGTGAGGCCCCGTTAAATTTAATGGAGTGAACATTGAGTAAGCCCGCGTGGGAGTTAGGATTGGATAGACAAGGCGAGATCCAACCACTGCTTAACATTTTCAACTTCCATTGATTTCGGTAGGTGAATTAAGTACCAGCCCCCTTTGCAATTAGTTGGACGTACTTGACATTCAAGCGTAAAGTGCAATCGCTTGACAATGGCACAAAACATCTCACACAGACCTTTTAGTTCAGAAGGTCAGCCGCTTAATGTGTCCTGACATACATTGCCTACGTCCATACAGTACAGAGTTTAGATTTCAGGGTCATCAGCGTTTACAGATAAGAAAGATGCCTCATCAGATGCACTGACCGTCATCCAAGATTTCGCCTATAAGGCACTGCTGGGAACCTCGCTTGTTGTTAATTGATTTGATTTTAATGCGTTGGCATGGACGATAGAAAAGCGGGGTTGCGGGAAGGGTGTATGGCGAAAGGGAAAAGCCAGCAAAGGGTAAGAAATGGGCTTTAAGATCTCGTCGACCTCAGGATCAATGTTTATGCCCGCTTGAGTAAAGGCTCCCACTGAATTCTCCCAAACTTGCCCAACGTTTTAAAAAACCAGCCTTTGTGGATCGAGCTGGTTTTACCGTTGAGTTCCTTTCTGCTTTTGATGGAGGATAATGTTCGGAGGAAATTTAGGAAAACAATTCGCCGTTTTCCATGGAACTGTCTACTTCTCGAGGATGGGTAGAGAGACTGAGGGGGGAAAGCGGGAGGCACCAATCTCAGCCGCGCCATAGAGGCGTTCTTCTTATCCCGGGGGACTCGTTTTGTTTGCTCACAGCAAACCGACGCCTCTGATCAGCCGCCTGCTCTTGGGAACGCCTGAGGTGTCTGCGTGCAGAGCGAAAGCGCCGCATTCTTAGTAGTTCCGTGGACCGTCTCATTATTATCGAATCTTTGCAAACCCTGCTTTTGTTCTGCTCTCTGTTTACTTACACACTCGGCACTCCAAGAGGACTGTCTACGGGGACTCCTACTGAGCCTAATGGGTGTAAATTTCAACTCAGGCGGAGATCCGAAACTTATTTAATGTCAAACTTTTCACCGCACTTAATGGGACTTGGGAATAGGCGCGCCCTGGCGTGGTGGTTGTCCCGCTTCAGACATTAAGCGTTAGACTTGCCTTTAAAAAAAAAAACCCGCCCGCAACCAACCCATCTAAGTAGTTCCCTTTAGATCATGAGGGGAAGAAAAGGGACCATTTATTACGAAGGAATAGTGAACATATTATCGAAATGGGCAACGACCCAGTCAAAATTGAGTCCTTTGAAGTTCAATCGGTTTTAATGAAGCGTTTTAGTCTCTGCTTACTTTTTCCCAATTGAAATGAGGCAAGAGCTTGGTTTGGACTGGATCCTGACCTCATTGTATATAAGTTGTATTTTCAACTTATTTTTAAGTTGATCTTATCTTTTTATTAATTATCACCAAAGGAACACATGTTTTCATTCTGTATTAAGAGAAGACGGCCGAAAACCGCCCAGTTCAATCGAATTAAATTAAATTAAATTAAATTAAACTGTGAAGTAAATGCCTTCATCTTGGGCGAAATTTGGCGCGAAACTGTTTGAAGACCAGCAGCCTGACGTCAACGAAGTTTAAAAGGGAGCTGGTTCCAAGGGGAGTCGACACAGTGCCAGATTTTAGTCACGCCTGTACGGCAGTAAATCCCATTAATTTCTGTGGCTATTAGTCCCACACAAGTGTAACTTTTGGAGTCAGCCCGATTCGGAGGCAAGCAGGTACTTACCAAGAAATTGAGTCTTTTACTTTATAGCAAAGCGTTTTCTCTGAAAACGAGAGATCCCAGCTGTATCCCTGGATAGAATTTCTAGTTCTAGCCTGATGTAGTTAGAATGTTGGGACACTTACTTAAGCCATGGTCACATCAATTCAGTAATTAAAAAAAAAAACACTTTTCCATTTGAAAAAAATATGTATGAATATAGTTTGAGCGGGAAGAGGAAATTAAAGCCTCAAATAGTGTTTCTTATTATCTTTCTCCCTTTACTTCTTTTTAAAAAACCCATCTCTTGTAGGCAGCCGGCTGAATTGAGATAAACAAAGGTATGAATATTCTTATGAATGTTTAATAAATAAAATAGCTTTATCAAACGAATTGCTTAAAAAAATGTTTGATAAGTTTCCCCCCCACGAAAATAATAGATCATGGATAACAGATCAGTTATTATCGTTCGTTATTTGCCTAGCAAGGAAAAGGAGTGTGCTTCCTTGTAGAGTATTTGTGCATTTGTATCTGCAGAAATCTGTATACCCCCCCTTCCCCATCATTGAGAAATGTGGGATTAATAAATGGCTTAATTGCTATTAGTGATAACGGAGTCCTAAGCATTTCTTCACAAAAAAAAGGGAGGGGGGTCTGAAAAGCCGGGCTTCAGGCTGAGGTCAATCACAGCGTCTCTCCGCCACCTTCGACTGAGTAAATAATTCCTATGGATCTTAGTGGAACTTTCGGAAAACTGAAGAGAACGTGAGCAAAGCTAGTTGCTCGCAAGTAAAACTCAAGAGTTGTGCACTCAGAAGGATTAGGTATATTACTTGATACAAAATGATGCCTGCGTGCCCGTTTCTCTGCCAAGACATAAAGGGTATATATGTATGAATTAACTGCGGGAAATGGAAGGCAATTAATTGAAGGCAAAGAAGGGATATATGGTTACTTTCCAGTCAGAGCCATTTTCACGCCATTGCACTTTTAATCCGAATCCAGACCTTCCTGAAACTCTTCCTTCAAACCGTCTGCTTTCACGAGCTCAAAAAGTTTTTCTCTGGAGTTCGGGAGACATTCTTAGGTAGGGGACCAAAAGTGCACCCACCTCGTCCCCTACTCTTAGCGCATGGCTACCTGCAGACTCCCCGAGATTTCGAGTTTCGCACCCGCTGATTCTAGCCGGTCAGGCAAGTTGCTGTCACCATCAGAAGTCCTGAAGTTCAGCGTCAAGATTGCGCCCAGCGCGCGCTGTCATACTGCGCCCCAACTTTTACTTACCGCCCGGCGATTGTTCCTTTCAACAACCAGCTGCTTCGGTCTTCGAAGCCCTTTAAGAACCGCCGTGATTTGAATCTGCTGCAAATGGGGGCGGGCGGGCGGGGGAGACAGTCTTTGGGACTCTCTTCCAGCGTCTCCGACTGGCCAAACGGTCGCTTCAAAAAGGGGAATGATCTGCCTTCAGATCCCACAACTTCTGCGGTTCTGCTACTTGGTAGCCAGAAGAAACGACCATAATAAAGGTGAAGGACTTTATAAAAAGTTGAAGGACCTATGCCAAATTTGTTTCGGTAATGCAAAGCACA